TATCTTTAGATAGGGTTTACCCTGTCCATCTGGACTTCACAATCAAGTAGGGGGCTAAGGTTCTTAACTAAAGCACAATTACACAGGCTAATTGTTTTTGAGAAGTGTGAAACAAACTATCTCATAAGGTAGAAAGGAGAAAAAGTCACTACTGACAAGAATGTGATGTTTGAACTGGTTTTAGTAAGTAGAGGGGCAGCTAGGTGGCACAGTGGATAGAGCACCAGCCTTGGAGTCAGGAGGACCCGAGTTCAAATATGGCCTTCAACACTTACTAGCTCTGTGACCCTGGGCAAGTCACTTAGCCCGGATTGCTTCCAAAGAAAAACTAAAAAGCATGTCTGAAGCACTACTGTTCTAAGTACTGAAGATACAAATAGGAAAGTAAGTACTGTTCTAAGGAAATCAGGAGCTCAAGGAGCTGGCAGTCTCACTGGGGAGATAACACATGCAGATGGTTTTAGCTGCAAGTCAGATGGAAAAGTCCCATGGTCCTTGGGGTGCAGCTGCAAAGCATATGGTCATGCCTCTTTCATGTTATTCTTACTAATAAAATCATTATCAATATCTGGTGCTAAACCACTTGATAATGCCAGGAACTTTGGTGACAAAACAACTTTCTTTTCAGTGTCTCTTGTAAAACTAGGAAATTTTAAATCCAGGGATAAATTTAACCAAAACTGTTGATTTTTCTAGGGGAGTAACTGTGCTAGTGTTGAAAGTTCTGTTTTGGAGTTAGAAGACCCAGGTCCCAGTCCTAGTTTCTGCCTTACTAAGTATGTGCCCTTGAGCAAATCATTTTAACTTCTTTGAGCCTCAGTTTTCTCATTCATAAAATGGTCATAATTATATTTGTGAGACCAGTCTCATAGAGTTGTGAGGATCAAATGAGATAATGGAATATAACAGTCCTTTATAATATAAAAAGCATTATGTACATGTAAAACTGTCATATTTCTTTAAGGTATTCTGATTTATTTAAAAGTTGTTTCTTCCATTTTTTCCCCCTAAGAATGGGTAGGAATTCAGTAGGTAAAGAAAGGGAACATGCTGCAGGCAGAGGAACAGATGCGAATTGCAGGGCATGTCCCAGGGACAGGGAGCAGTCTGGTGCCTGGAGGGTAGTATGGAAACATAGCAGGAAAGGTAGGGCAGTGTCATGTCATGGAAAGCCTTGGAGGTGATGCTGGATTTGAACTAGACTTGGGAAGCAATAGAGGCCTCCAGGTTTTTGAGTGGGACTACCATGACCAGATCTAGATAGAGTAGAATGATGTTGGTTACTGATAGGAAGAAGAGCAAGGATCTCAATTCGCCCTGCCCACCCTCCAAATCTATTCCTCTCAGATCATAACTCAAGTCAGAGCTTAGACCCAGACACCCCAAGTTGAAAAGTTAATCAAAAGACAGACTTTAATAATACCCAAAGGCTTCTGTGGCTGGAGAACTGCCAGACCGCTTCATCCAGGGAGAAGTCCCACTCCATCTGACAACCAATAAATGTCAGTGTCATCTAAGCTGCCCAGCCTGAGAGTAGCAGGAAACAGCACTACCTGTGACATCACCAGCACACCAGTGGTTCTGCAGCATCAGTAGATTCCCTGGTCACTTCCTTCTGTTCCCTAGCTATGTATTTGCTGTGTATATGGATGCATGCATATATATACATATGTACATTTTCCTCCCATTCACATGCCCTTCCTCAGGTATTATTCTCTGCTCAGGTCTTTGGCAGACCCAGCAGGAAAAAACATCCCAACTATCTAGCTCCCAAAATAATATCTGTCAAGATTCATCATTATCTGATCACAAACTACCCTTATTTTGCACCACTTAACACCAATCCATTTGGAAGCCTGGGTCTGACAGCTGGAAAAGACCTTACACAGCAGCCAGCCCAATCTCATTTGACAGACAGTGAGGACCAAACAGGAAAAATTATTTGTCCAAAATCAAGGTATCTTCTCCCAAATATCCTTATGACTTTTCTTAATCCTGCATTCCCCTTCCATTTTCCTGTTTTTTTGAAAGCAGGGTGGGCACTTCCCCTTCACCCCTGTGTTGGTACCAGTGGCTACCCTTAGGGCTCAGCTCAATTCCACCTCCCATAAGAACTTGCCCCCACCAGCACATTCCTTTTTATGTGTATATATTGTTCCTTTTCTCTTGGAGGGCAAGACATATTTCTCTTCCTAACCCCAGAACCTAGCACATAGTAGGCACTTAGTATGGTGAACTGAACAGAGGCTGTGACTTGTGCAGCTAGTGCCAAAGTCAGAATTTGAAACCGAGTCTTCCTGACTCCAAGCCCAGCTCTAACTATACCACCTCGCCTCTTTAATATAAATATGCTATTATAATATAAAGTATAATAAAGTTCTGACTGTTCTGTGGGTCTCAGACTTACCTTCCCAAATGGACCATTAGACCCACGTTCAATCAATAACCATTTTTAAAAGCCCTTGCTATATGATAGGCACAGTGCTAACAGTGCTGGGGACATAAAGAAAAGCAAAAACAGTCCTTGCCCTCCAGGGGCTTACATATTATGGGGAGAGACCTGTAAATGAATAAGCACATTTAAGACACAGAGTAGATGGCTAGCAATCTCAGGGGCAAAGGCAGCACTAGTAGCTGGGTGGGCCAGGAAAGGCTTCCTGCAGGAGGCATTTGAGCTAATCCTCGACGAAAGGAAGATTCTAAGAGGCTGAAGTGAAGAACAGCATTCTAGGCACAGGAATAGCAAGGAGGCCAGCAGGCCCGTGCAGCTGGATCATAGAGAACTCAGAGGGAGTGGAGTTGAAAGATTTGAAAAGTAGGCAGGGGCCAGGTGGGGAAGGGCTTTGAATACTAAACAGAGGACTTCATATTTTGTCCTGGGGAAGGAGGACCCACTGCAGGTTGAGTGGGAGGGGGTGATATGGTCAGACCTACGCTTTAGGAAGCAGCTGAGTGGAAGATGGACTGCAGTAGGGATAAGAAGACAGTGAGCAGGCTACCGCACAGTCCAGGTGTGAGGGGAGGGTCTGTATCAGGGTGGTGGCTGTATAATTGGAAAGAAGGTGACCTATGATGAGAGATGTTCTGAAGCTAGAAAGGGCAGGATCTGACAACAGATTACATGTGGGCTTAATGTGAGCAAACAGAGAATAACGCCAAAGTTGCCCGCCTGGGTATCGGACGATGGTGTCCTACCCAGAAACAGGAAAGTTTGAGAGAGGGGAATGGTTAGAGGAAAAGATTGTTGTTTCTCAGTTGTGTTTGACTCTTTCTGACCTCATTTTGGATCTTCTTTGCAAAGATACAGGACTGATTAGCCATTTCTTTCTCCAGCTCATTTTACAAATGTGGAAACTGAGGCAAACAGGGGTAAGTGACTTGCCCAGGGTCACACAGCTAATAAATGCCTAAGGCCAAATCTGAACTCATGTCTTCCTGAGTCCAGGGCCAGCACTCTATCCGCTGTGCCACCTTGCTGTCCTATTAAGAGGAAAAGATATTGAGTTCTCTTTTGGACATGTTAAATTAAAGATGTCTGCAGGACATCCATTTCAAGATGTCTAAGAGGCATTGGGTTATACTGGCCTGGAGCTCAGGAGAGCTAGGCTAGGTGTGCAGATCAGGGAATCATCTTTGTAGAGACAATCGAACCTGTAGGCACTGAGGAGACAAGACAGTAGAGTTATGGCCCTATTTGGCAGACTGGACCGCTTCTTAAAATGTATAAAATAAAACAGAAAACATAGGATTATAAAGAAAACAATTACATTAAAATAGTTATCATTTTCAAAAAACAAGTTCACAGACCCTTGGTTAAGAACCCCTGGTATAGAGGGAAAAGAGGGCCCAGGATAGACCCTTGGAAGCACCCACTGTAACTGGTCATGCAAATAGGACTGAGGAGAAACAGTGAGGAAAAACAAGCAGGATGCACAAGGGAAACCCTAGAGGAGACTAGGGAGGAGAAGAGGGTGATGAACAATTTAAAAGGTTGTAGAGAGGTCAAGGATGCGGATTAAGAAAAGACCATTAGATCTGGCAATGAAGAGATCCTTGGTAACTTTGGAGGGACCTAGACTTTTTTGAAGAGTTTAAGGTAGCTAAGTGGGGATGGTCAGATGAATAAGGACTTTTTAAAAAATCTGCTTATTACTTTTTTTTAATTTTTGTTTTTGTTTTTGAGTGAGGACTTTTTTAAGCATGGAGGAGACATGGATGTGTTGCGGGCAGTAGAAAGCAGCCAATAAATCAGGAGGTTGAAGATCAGTGGGAGAGTGGGGACAGCAGAAGGGCACTCTACTGGAGAGGCAAGGATGGCATAGGATAGAGGGTGTATTTAGAGGGGTTCGCCTTGGCAAGAAGGGCCACTTAATGGCGTGGGAAGACATCCAAATAATTTCAAATGAGGAAAGGGGAAGAGAGCTCTTGATGAACGGGCTCAGTTTGTTTCAGGCAAAGTCCTCAGCTGACAGTGTGGGGAGGAATACCATAGGAGGCTTGAGGAGAGATGGAAATAGCAGTGGTAGCAAGTCAGATGAATTAGGGCAGTCTGCAAGGACTGCCTTGCTGCAGTTAGGTTCCAGCTGAGCTTATGTAACGAATTTGTAGTGCACCCAGTCAGGATGGTTCTGTGATTTTTCTCAAGCTCTGAACAGAACAGAAGTGATGGTGGTGGATGGTGGGAGTTATCCAAGGATAGGGTTTGACAGCGCATCCTCGGTGATAAGACAAGAGCCTCAAGTGAAGAAAATAGGATAGGGTCAGACTAGTTCACCACAGGGTCAAGATAGGGAAGGGAGGAGACTATAGCCAGTGTAGGGGAGAGAGCCTGGGAAAAAACTAAGAAGTGAAGGGATTACAGGTCACGGGGAGGACAAAGAACAAATGAAAACCAAGGGTCCTATAGGCAGACGGAAAGAGAGAAAGAATGATAGGAAATAATGAATGGCCAGATAAAGAAAAAGGCCCCATAGAGACAAATAGGTGAAATATGGCTTTTTTCTTTATTTAGAAAGCAATTCACCAGTAACAGCGCGGGAGGACTTGAACCATGAACAAAGGTGTGGAAAAGAAACCCAAGAATTTTGTTATGTTAGAGCCACTCTGCAGGATTCCCAGTAAGCCTTTATAGCAAGATAACATACAAATTCCCTTGTGTTTTGTCAGTTGTATAATCAAGGCAGCCAAACCTGCATACCAGTCATTAGGTACTATCAAAGGGGAATGACAGAATTCCCAGTCCAGTTAGTTGAGGTCATTTCCCAGGCAGAACGTTCATCTCACAAGCCTGTCACTTCTCCTTCCCCAGACTTAGCTTTCTCCCCGTACCATGAAGATGTGAGAGTCCTAAGGCAAATCATTTTCGGGGATGGGTCCAGAGCAGGGGAGTCAAGAGGCCCAACACAGGCCAGGCCCTGGGTCAGGCAGGCTTATGGCAGCCAGATCTGGTATGAAGGAACTGGGCAGTGAGGAGCTGCTCAGAGTCCAGGAAGATGAAGCTGGCCTGGTTGCCTGAGAGAGACCCCAACGGCCTCCAGGAGTGCTGCTCTTCTTTCCCTCTCTGACACTAATCCTTTCGACTTGGCTTAGGCAAAGCAGGTGTCTGGGTCCCCAAAGTCCTCTTAGGCAGAAGCTGAAATTCATGGTTTCAGAGTGAGAAAAGCAGTCCTGGAGGCTTTTGACCCTGGAGATTCAAAAGGGGAAGAAAAAGGCAACACAGAAAAACATTTTAATTCAGCCACTCCTTTGGGTCTAGAGCAGTGCAGTAGGTTCAAATTCCCAGCTTTCTTTTCATCCTCCTCCCACCAAGCAAGACAGGTCCTTCCAGAGCAGCTGGGACCCCTACAAACTCTCAAGAAAGACTGGTGCTTATAAAAACAAAACCAAAACCCCACTGCTCACTGGATTCCAGAATCCGGAAGCAGGAGACCTCAATCCTAGGCTGTTCCTCCGCTGCCCCCTCCTGTCTGGCTACATTTGTGGCACCAAGCAGTAACTTACAAAGTAGGATTCCCACTAGGATTTGTCCTGGATTTCCACCCCTTTCCTAGAGGCAATTCCTACTAGAAGCAAATTTGAGAGGAAAGCCTCATTGTTTGTCCTGAGTCTTATTTTATCCTAGATTTATAGACAAGGAAGTCGTGCTGATTCATAAGCAGTAAGCAAAGCATGCTACATACATAGCCTTCTATTTTTGGAAAGGCTGAGTTTGCAGGGCATACAGCAAGGACTGCAGGAGAACACCTATTCCCACATATATGTTTATATAAAATTTAGACTGGTTTCCAAGAGCATTTACACTTTGTAATTACAGGCACAACACAGTCAGGTAACAAATCTGCTTGTTGAATGAATGCATACAATAAAAGGAGAGGGCGTAGCTGGTATATTGTTTTGTGAAGTGGGTTATTTGTATGGAAATCCTGGCTAACAATGTGTTGCTATATAAATAATAAAAAACAATCCTTTTTTAAAAACAACAACTACAAACACGCTTAATAATCCTTTTAGTATCTATAGCCCAAAGGTTTTTTTCAACAACAATCAGGAAACCTAATATCAAGAAATTAAATGACAGGTCCAGGGTCCCAGAATCTCAGCATGTTAAGAGTTGAAGGGCTTTTATATAACTCCCTCATTTTACATGTGAGAAAAACAAGTCCCAGAGCATGACCTGGCCAGGGTCATACAACAAGAAAATAGCAGGAATAGGCTTAGAACCCAGGAGTTCTCTTACTCTCGGGCCTTTTTTTTTTACTCGACTTTAAAACATAAGGTACTAATTCTAGCATTTCAGTCATTCAGATCCTGTGCACCTCAGAATCTGGGTAAGCGACCCAGACTGGGTTATTAACATTTTCCATTCAGTCAGAGATTTCCCAGGGCAGGGCTGAGTGCCCAACCCCAACTCTCCTGGTCCTCCCTCCTACCCTAGCACTAGCCCCCAGGCTCTACCACTCATATTTGTTAGTTATATCAGAGGTCAGCCCTATCTATCTAGAAACATCCTGCAGTGGGGAAAGGGAAAGAATTGGAAGTCAGTCACTGGTGACCTGATAATGTTAATTTACTAGTTCTGTAACCCTAGAAAATCATCTAACTTATTAGTTAACCTTAGTTTGCTCACCTATAAAACAGAGACAGCACTACTTACTTGGAACTACCTTCCAGGGTTGTGCTAGGGCAAATGCTCTTGGAAACCCTGAGTTCCTATAGGGATCTGAGCTATTTTTAATCTCGGCGTACCAGGAGCCGGAATCCAATCTACAACAACCAGCCTCCAGGAATAAGTTTATTGAATGAATGAGTGAACACAGTGACTCCTCTAGAAGGAGGGGAGAGGTGGCAGGCAGCTTTGGTTTGGGGCAATAGGCTAGGAAATCCTGGGTTACAGTGAACAGGGAGTCACTCTTTAAGTGCCAAGGGAAGCATTCCTTTGGAAGGAGGCAGTCCCTTCCATAACTATATGGCTCTGACTATTAGTAAGATTTTTCCCTTCTATCTAGTAGCAATCAGTCTCTTGCCAGATGCCTGATTTTGCTCGCTGGAATCCCTCAGAACCCAGGAGTCCTGCCAGTCTCTCCCTCCCACACTCTTCTCTTACCTGTGCCACGGCCTGCGCTGCTTTCATCCAGAGGCTGAGTGGTAGCTTTTCCTTCTGGCGCTGCCGGAAGCCTCTTGCTCCTGGCCTTGGCCAGGCTCGGCTCCTCTGATGGCCACTGAAGGGTAGCCCGTTTGCCAGCAGAATTGCGGGCCGTGTAGCTGTACACAGACATGTAGCCCTTGCTGGTGAGCGGGCAGAAGCGCTTGGTGTGGGCATTGTCTTGGGTGGCTCTGCACTGTGGGCACACATATTTTCTCAGGATGGGGCACACCACCCGGCCTTCCTCGTCCTTCAGCGTGTGGGATAAGTAGATGTTTCGAGACTCCCCATTGTGCTTGCAAAAGGTGCACAGGGGGTCCCTGGAGGGCAGAAGGTCCTGCCTTAGGCTGGGGCCAGGGCCTGGGACAGGCTCTGTCCCTACCCCCTGGGGCTCCAGTTTTTCTTCCCTGAGAGCCCCCACCACACTGGCGAGTCCCAGATAATCCCTCCACAGATTGAAGACCTCCATCTAAACTGAGGACCCTACAGTGCAGGTCACCAGCCCTAGTGGGGAAAAGTGATGGGATTAGAGCCAGGCAGGGAAGCTAGGGCCTTAAGTATCCTCAAGCAGCCAATTAGAACTAAAAGCAGCTAAAGAACCCTCTCTAGCCGCCCCCCACCCCCAGCTCCCACCTCACTCGGAGCCTTGAAGTCTACAGGCTCCCTCCACTCCAGGGGGACTTGGGGGAGGGGTCTCTTCCTTTTAGCTCCACAGTCAAATAGCCTCTGGTAGAGCTCAGGGCTAGTGAACTAAGAGATCTTCAACTTGCATTTTAATGTGGGGGAAAGAGGGAAGGAACCACCCACCTGGCCCCACCCCACCCCACCCCCACACTCTGCTACTGTGTAGTTCTCCCCTGGGTTAGAGGAACACTCTGTGCCTCAGTGCCTCCTGGTCTGGGTGTGACTTTCCTAGCCTTAGGTTACAACACTCAGGTGGGCCAGGTTCTCCCCAAACCCCGCAGGATTGGCATGTCACTGCCTCAGGTTGCCAGGCTCTGAAAAGCAGGATGGTCAAGTGGAGGGGCTCTGGCTCTGGGGTATGAGGACCTGGTTTGTATTCCAGACTTTGGGTAAGGGTAGCCAGGTGGTGCAGTGGTTAGAGCACCAGGCTGGCGGCAAGAAGACCTGAGTTCAAATGCGGCCTCAGACGACGCTTACTAGCTGTGTGACTCTGGGCAAGTCATTTAGCCCTGTTTCTCTTAGTTCATCATGTGCAGAATGGGGACACACTGGTGAAGAAAATGGCAAACTACTCTAGTATCTTTGCCAAGAAAACCCCAAATGGGGTCACCACGAGTCAGACAATTTGGGCAAGTCACTTCCCTTCCTTGCAAAGTGACTTCCTCTGTCTTTTTTTCCTTAAAAAGCTGAAGGCTCAACTAGATGAATCTAACCCCTTCTCTCTGAGGCCTTGGACCAAAGCTGGACTAGGCAGGGCTTCAGTAGCAGCCCTTTACTGGCTGGGAGAATTCACTGTCACTAACCAAATGTGTTTTGGAGGGCCTAGTATAGGAGCCCTTGCCTGGGAGTGGAGAGGCTGAAGGAAGATCTTTCCACATAGAAATAGCACTTGGCTTGCTCTCCTTTGGCAAAGACTATTGCAATAGCCTTTCCATTGGCTTTCCCTGCCCCCACTCCAGTTGGTCCTTGACACAGTTCTCTGAGTGATTTCTGGACCAGGGAATTCTCAAACTCCAGAGGCTCTCTATGACCTCCAGGATCACCTCGAGGCTCCTGTTTGGCACTTAGAGCCCTTCAGACCCCTGGCCTATTTCTCTAGCCTTATTCTACATTCCTTCCCTTCCCAGTGGTTCAGAGTTAAGGCAAACTTGGCGTTCCATCTCCTACCTCCTTTGCACTGGCTGTCCACTACGGTTGGAAAGCGCTGCCCTCTGTTCACCTGTTTCTTGGAATTTCTCAGCTCCTTCAACACTCAGCTTGAGAGCCCTGCAAAGCCTTGGCTGATCGCTGCACTGCTAGTGCCCTCCCCATTAGAATGCCCTGTATTATTTTGTATCTAACTTGTGTTTTCCAACATGTATACATATTGTCTCCCCTATAGAACACAGGTGTCTTTGTATCTCCAGCCTTGCACAATGCCTATGGGACTCACTGGAAAAACAAATGCTTGTTTACTGACGAATATGATCTCGGGCTCAATTGAGTAGTCCCCTTAGTTTAATAAGGGCCACTAGAGCTACAAGAAAAGAGAGGTCAGTCACTCGGAACTGGGCTAGTCTTCTAAGGCAGTGGGGCTGGGATTGAAAGGTACACGGATGGAAGGGGCTGCATACTGACTCAGACATTAACCCGTCTGTTGTAATTTTATTTATTTTGTTAAATATTTCCCAATTATATTTTAATCTGGCTCTGCCTCATTTGCCAGTTTTGCTGGCAGCAATGCAACCAGGGTATTCTAGAGAGTCCTTCTTGTAGGTAAGAATGAGACAACCTTAAGACCTGGGTTCTAGCCACTGTGTCACTGGGGATGTCCCTTCCCAGCTCTGGACCTCAGTTTCCTCATCTCAGTCCATATCTCTCCAGTTTGTCCTCAAGAACAGCTGGAGAGACCTTGCCAAATGACCCTCCCAGTCTAGTAACCCTGGCAAAAAAAAAAAAAAGGAAAAGGAAATCAGAGCAGTCTGGCACATGTTTTTGATGAAACCTTTGCTGGCTCTTTGGGAACAAGGATTCCTTTTCTAGATTGACAGTGGTGCCTGTGAATAAAGTGCAGGATCTGGCCTCTCCTGACACTTTGGAGCTAGAGGGCTGCCAAAGACTACTCTGGGCCTCAGTTTCCTCATCTATAAAATGGGGGCAATAATACCTATATAGTACAGGTATTACCTGTATAACCCTCCCAGGGTTGTTGGGTGATTCAAATGATTTCAGTGCCCATTGAGGGCTTTGCAAACCTCAAAAGTACCATGTCCATGTAAAATAGTTAATCTGATTTAAACATTCACTCACCATTCCTTTAATAATAATTATAAAAAACTTTCTAGACACAGATAGCAAGCTCACAGGCCTAATTTACACTCTTCACTTTTTTACCTTTTTATTCACTTTTTTACAGCCCTTTTGCAGTTGGAGAGTAATTCTCCCATTCTACAGGATCTTCCAAAGATGATTCCGTGATCCCATCAGCCAATCTGGAGCTCCCCTGGAGTATAGCCCCTGTGGACCTGAAGACACTAAGGGAAGCCAGGTATTAGGATATACCTACTTACTTGGGTTTCTACTCCCTAATGGACATTTTTGTCATGTCCTTTTCAGAACAAAGATTATTTTCCTTGGAGGAGGGGGAAAAGGGTATATTAAAATAACACAGCACCACCTTCTCTCCAACATTGTTATCCAATCCTCCCCAAGCTGCCATCTTTTTTCCAGTTTATCAGTCAATATTGTAAACAAGCAGTTTAATCAGCCCCTCACATAAGCACAAAACAGAAATGTAACAGTCCCAGGCCTCCAGGAGCTAACATCCTGAGGGGGTGAGCCTCGAGTGTGGACTGGAGGAAGACAGGTATAGAGATAAGCAAATAGTAAATAGCAACAAAGCCAATATAAAATAATTTGTTCCTTCGGGGGTGGGGAAGGTGCAGGTACTGTGTGCACTTCTTCCAGTGAAGCATAATAATAATAAAAATAACAAAATCCTCTTCCATCCTTAAGCTTTCCTGGATTCACTTTGTGACACTTAGCTCTGGACCCTTTTTACAAGACCTACAGTTCATTTATGATTATTCTCCATTGTCATTAATAATAGCTAACAAATATTAGTGTTTAGAAAATATAATGCTTACTACGTGTCAGGCACAGTGTTAAGAGTTTTACATATATCATCTCAGCTGATTCTCACAACAACTTGGCAGGTAGGTGCTATTATCCCCATTTTACAAATGAGGAAACTGAGGCAAACAGGTTAAGTGACTTGCCCAGGGTCATACAGCCAGTAGGTGTCACAGGCTGGATTTGAAAATGATCTCGGGTCTCCCTGACTTCAGGCCTAGTATCCTGTCCTCCTTTAAAATCTAAATTAACCAACGAGTTCCCTGTGCACCAATAGCAATCCTTTTAGTGGACCCCCAACACTATTTCCTCCTCAGAGTTGTTTCTTTGGGGAAAATGGCTTAAGCTTGATTGGCCTCCAATGGTTTTATCCTCTAGGGCTCCCAGCCCCGCTTCTTCCTCAGCCTAGTGGCTGCTGCTGCCTAAACCATTTCATCCCATCCCACTTCCCACCCGACGTTGTTTAAGGCTTTCGGGGTCTGCGGAGGAAACTAGAAAACTAACCTTCTGGGACCTACTGAGAAATGAAGCAATCATTCCACTCGGGCTCCTCCCCTCATACCTTCCCTCTCCATTTCCCAGCTGCTTCCGTTCCCACTCCCCCCCATCCTCAGCCAGGATGGGGGGCAGTACCTTTCCACCTCCTGGCTTGGCTACACTGTATCTGACATGAGCTTGGCCCCTGCAAAGTTCCCACCTCCTTCCTGGAGTCGAATCTCCTTAGGTTTGCAAAGAGGTTGGACTATCCACAGGTCATCTTAGTGAACTAAATCATAAGTGAAGGAGGAGACGGAGGCCTCCCTCCCTTCCCATGCCCGCAGGGGCTGTTGGGGCAGCACTTCCACAGATCTGGGAAGGAGAAGGAATTTGGAACTACCTTGTCCCCCTCCTCCCCTCCAGGGCACAGGCCCCAAAGGAAGAAAGAAAGCCCTATGGGCTGGGAAAATCTCTCCCCTTTGCCAGGTACCGCGTTAAGGGCACAGGGCTGTGCATACTGGTGGTCAGTCATGGCCTTCCCAGTTCTGACCGGAGGTAAAACCCAAATTAACAAGTCCCTACCTGTGCCCTTCTCCAGATGTCTCTGGGAAGCTAAGTCCTGGTTCAGGCCTTTCCCAGTGCATTCCTCCTTTTCTTGCTTTCCTGTAAACCTGGGAGGCAGGAGACCCGGGTTCTAATCACAGCTTCAATCCTTACCGTGGGAACTTGGGCCAGGCACTTCCAATTCCTCACTGGAAAGATTAGCAGTTAATGACCAACAAAGTGGGTCAAACTACCCTTTGTTTGAAGAGAATTGTCTCCTCTTAGGGGTGTCAGACCAGCAAACAGAGCTGGAGGCAAAAAGAGGCAGAAGACTCAATTCTGCCCCTTCAGGAATTAACTAAATGCCAGGCCCAGGGATTCTGGAGAGGAAGGCTGGGATCCCCTGGTGCCTAATAGCACAAAATGAGGCTGGAAGTCAGATGGGATTCCCTAGTAGTTATGTTATGATGACCTTTTGATTTCTAGCTGAGGGGAACCGTCATTAGACAGAAGAGGATCCAGGTGGAGGAGAATACTCACAACCTGGCCCCTTCCTACCTTTCCAGCCTTCTTACACTTGACTCTGTCCTCTATGAAGTTCCTCCCACATGACTCTATCTACCTCTCCAGGGCCTTTATCCTCCATGCCTGGAATTCTCCCTGTCCTCAAGTCTGGCCTTCCTTCAAGACTCTTCAAATCCCACTTTCCATAAGAAACCTTTCAGCTCCCTCTCTCCCCACCCCCATGCAATTCCCCACTACTTACATTATATAGATGCATGTCCCCCATTACAATTTGCATTGCTA